GGGATGACCACTGGTAGAGGGAACTTGCTCTACAAATGATCGGGTCTGGATTGGTCATATGGATTTTCGAAGAAGACATGCATGATCTGGATGGGGAGCATCTTCAAAGCCCTTTGGTTGTGCCATGTAAATAGTTTCAGTGAGGTTTTCATGGAGGAATGCATTTGCCACATTAAGTTGTTGAACCGGCCAGTCATGATGCAGGGCTACTGCAAGAAGAACATGGATGGTGGGGAGTCTGGCTACAGGATTGAATGTCTCAGTGTAGTCGATGTCATGTTGTTGCTGGTTTCATTGCTACCAATCGAGCCTTAAACTGAGCTATGGACCCATCAGTATGGTGTTTGGTGCGATACGTCCAGCGACATCCAAGAACTGAGGTGTCCGGAGAAGGAACGAGCGTCCACATTCCCTATTTCTGTAAGGCAAAGAATTCGGCATCCATGGCCTTTCTCCACTCTATATGTTTGATGGCATCGAAATAAGAGGTAGGGTCAGATGAGGTTGAGAGTGAAGCTTGATGATGGAAGAGAGTTAGTCGATTTGTAGGCTTTAGAGAACCTGTTTGAGATCGGGTACCATAGGATGGTGAATAGCTTGTGGAAGTGGAGCTGGGTTGTTGGAAGATGTAGATGGAGTAGAGTTTGATTGGTTGACAGGTATGTGATTGGAAGCATGTGATTGGGAGGGTCTGAGTGAGGAGACGAGTTGTGGATCATGGATAGACGGGTAGGGCTAATGCGTTGTATGGGTTGGAGATGTGGGTATAGTGGATGTAGGAGTGAGAAAGTAAGGAGGGGTGGTAGTTTGGTCGGCTAGTAGGGGTGTAATTTGAAGAGAGACGAATTAGTGGGTGGAGAGTGTTTTGCTAAAGGAAAAGAGTGCTCAATAAATGTGACGTGTCATGAAATGTAGATACGATTTGTAGAGGGGGTCTAAGCATTTGTAACCCTTGTAGGAGTCCAGATATCCCAGGAATACCCATGATTTGGATTTAGGTTGTAGTTTGTGGCGAAATTGAGATGGAACTAGTGGAAAGCATTCGCAGCCAAAAGTGTGGAGATGAGAGTAGGAGGGAAGGGTGTTATATAGTAGTTGATATGGAGATTGATTTTGAGTATTTGGAGAGGGCATTCGGTTAATTAGATAAGTGGCGGTGAGAGTTGTGTCAAGCCAATACTGATATGGAATGGAAGCTGTTTAAAGCAGTGTACGAGTTGTGTCGAAAATATGTCTGTGTTTCCATTCAGCTAAGCCGTTCTGTTCCGGGTATAGAGATAGGAGATTTGATGTAGGATGTCTTGTTGTTTACGAAATTGAGATAGTTGATTATTACAATATTCTTTGCCTCCATACGTGCGCAGACATTTAATTTTATGAGAAGACGTGTTTTCGATTAGATTTTTAAAATTGATAAATATGCTAGTAACTTCATATTTAAAGAACATGGGAAATAGCCAGGTAAAACGAGAGAAATCGTCCATAAAAACTATGTAATACTTATAGCCTTGATTAGAAGGGATTAGGGAGGGTCCCCATACATTCGAATGAAGTAAGGCTAGCGGTTTGAGTTGACGATTGAAAGAATTATCGAATGCTAACTTATGACCTTTAAAGGTCTTACAATAAACACAATCAAATAAAAAACTATGTATGTGAAGTAGAGGGTTGGATTTTGAGATGGTAGCTATGACACGTTGATGTGGATGACCGAGCTAGTTGTGCCATAGGATTGCGTTGGAGTTGGTAGTAGCGAAGAAAGTCAGACAAGTAACTGATGAAGTAGAGGAGTGGGATATAATCCATCACGGCAAGGTCCCTGTAATATGATTTGATTTGTTTGTAGATCCTTGAAGAGAAAGCCAGAGGAATCAAATGTGTTAGAGATATCGTTATCTCTAGTTAGATTTGAAATATAAAGTAAATTGTGTGTGATAGCTGGAATATGAAGAAGGGTGGAGAGTTTAATCTTATAAAGCGGGGTAGGAAGGATGCCATCACCAGAGTTTGCAATAGAGATGGAGCTGCCATTACCAATGATAATGCAATTTGCACCTTGATACGGACAGTACTGCGACATGTTGCTGAGCGAGTTTATGAGATGAGATGATGCATCAGAATCAAGGAGCCAGTCTGTAGAGGGAGAGTCTGATGCCACTATCAGAGCTTTGTTCTATGTGGAAGCAACATTGGGAACGTAATTAATGTTCAGGTGATGCCAACATATTGATGCTGCGTGGCCCTTCTTGTTACAGATCTGATAAATTGAGAGAGAAACTGAGCTGATCGGTTGGTATTGTTGAAGTTTTGAGGTGAACGACCTCTGGATCGACGACCGCAACCTCTGTATGAGTAGAGGGTTGTGTGGGGATCGAAAATGGGAATGGCCCGTGCTGCCTCTGATGCTATATTAATTTCTTCACTAAGAAGAAATGACTAGAGGTTATCAAAACTGATGGGTGAGAGAATGGTGCGTATGGAGGTCTTGAAGGCTTAATAGGGAGTTGGGAGACCATTGAGAGTATAAAGGATAATATCTTCAATGTCAACAGTGGATCTTGTGGCAGCAATGTGGTCAATGAGTGTTTTGATCTCAGAATATTGGGTCATGGTTAAATTTTTCATTGATATGTTATGAAGCTCATTTTTTAGCTGAATTACTCCAGAGCGATTTGAGGATTGGAACCTGAGCTCAAGAGTGGTCCAAATAGCAGTTGTAGAGTATAGGTGAAGAATGTATGGTAAGACTGAGGCAGTAATGGTAGAACAGATGGCTGTAGCTAGGTTTTGATCTGTAAGCAGCCACTGTGTGTATGAGGGATTAGGGGTGGTTGTGCCATCGTGTTGGGGAGATAGACGAGGATGAGGTATGGATGAAGGGTCTAGGAAAAAAAACCCATTGGCACAAAAGAGTTTGCTCACCTAAGATTGCCATAAAGAATAGTTATCATTGGATAACTGGGTGGGGGCTAGATGTTTGATGTTGGAGACGACGAATTTCAGGGAAGGAGAAATGGAGGGATTTGTTTGACTATTTGCAGAGAGATCTCCAATTTGAGAGGTATCTGACTGTGCCATGGGTTTTCTTGTACTTCATGCCTGCTCTGATACCATGTAGAAGTCTACAGTTCTATTGCAGAAGACTAAAACAACTGGAAAGACAAGTTAGCCCAATAAAGTAGAGAATAAGACATATGAATCCGTGAATATAGTAATTCCTTCCTTGCCTTTTTACTGTGACGTTGTACAGTTTATATAGAGATAGACAAGAATAGATTACACGTGTATGCATGATAGCAAGAGTGTTTGTTACAGATGAGCGGCTAAGATCATTTACTGCATGTGCTGGTTTATTGCTTATTAGACGACATGTGTTGGTTTGTTGTTGTGTGCATTGTTAGGAATAAAATGGCCTAAAACTTTAAACTTAAACAACAAAGACAAGTATTGGTGCAGCTACTGCAAAAAGTTGAGATACACTTGGAAAAAAATGTCATAAATTGAATAACAATCCAAGGACATTTAAATCAAATTCTCATTTAAATCTAATAAAAAATGTCATTTATAATACTTTCTAACCAAGTCTTTTTAGGTCTACCCCTATCTTTCTTAAAATGGATCAAATTTAATACATCTACTCCCCTAACCGGGTCATCGGAAGGCCATCATTTTATGTGGTCAAATAATCTAAAACGACTCTCTGGTCATATTTGTCACTGGAGCTACTCCAACCTTTCAGGCATATACTCGTTCCATACTTTGTCTCTAAGAGTAAAACCACTCATCCACCTAAGCATCCTCATCTCTGTAACGCTTAATTTTATGCTTCACTTTTAATGGTCAACATTCTGCACCAAAAAGCATTGCAGGTCTCACCATCATCTTATAGAATTTTCCCTTAAATTTGAGGGGTATATTTCTATCACATAACAGACCTGATACATTCCTCTACTTCAACCATTCAACTTGATTTCTATTAATAAATATCTCCATCTATTTCACCATCGCTTTGAACAATAGACCTAAGATATCTAAAACATGTACTCTTATTAATGACTTGATTGCCCAAAGTCGCAATCCCCCAATTAAATCTATTACTCCTAAAATTACACTCTATATATTCGATTTTAGATCTACTCAAACGAAAATCTTTAGACTCTAAAGTTGACTGTTAGGTCGGCCCTAGAGCTAGCTGAACCGGTCCAACCTCGACCGGTTCTTTGCTACAATAGGAGGGGGCGGAACCAAGGGGAAGAGAGAGAGAGGCCAGTTGGAGAGATGGGGCCCACAACTTAATTAAACTTGCTTTGGGAGGAAATTTTTGAATTAGGGGCTGTTTAGGGATTTTGTACATGTCCTCTTTGTTTTAATTAGTTCTTTTGGGGAGGATTAGGGTTTCATCTTGAATTGGAGAGAGATTTGAGATCTATGGTTTGTTCTTTTGGGCTCTAGGCTTTGCTAGAGAATTGGAGAGTTGTTTCTTCCTCTCGAATTGAATAAACTTGTATCTTATATTATTTTTCTTGTTCGTGGATTAAAAAGAAGTTTTCCTTGTGTTTTCTCTCCAATCTTTTGAAATTTCTGCATCGTATTGCTGATTTCACTCTGAAATCAACAGATTTCTCGCTGTTTTCACCAATTATTGATAGGTTTGCTTGCAAACTCAAGTATTTCCTATCATTGACCTCCATAATTCAAGTTTTTATTTTAACTCCCTCTCTAGCTTATCAACAAAAATAATATCATCAACAAAAAATAATATCATCAACAAAAAACATACACCAGGGTACATCCTCTTACAAATGTCTAGTAAGAGCATCCATGACTAAAGCAAAAATATATCGATTTAAAGCTGATCCTTGACGTAATCCAACTAAAATAGGAAAATACTTGGTCAAACCATCTTGTGTTTGAACACAAGTAATAGCTTCTACATACATATTCTTAATGACTTAAATATAAGCATTATTAACTCCTTTCTTTTCTATAAACCTAAACCAAGAATTTAAACAGGATGACCAAATTTTAAAATATGATAAAAAATCAAATGTATGGTATTCCATACCCAATATAGTCTGCAGACGAACGATCAAGGCCACTACACCCAGCCCATGAGGCTCCACGAAAGATATTACCCCCACCAACTACTATAGCAACCTGAATTAATTGAACAAATCGATAAAATATTACATGCTAAACAACTGCCACATTAGCAAAAGTTTGATCTCATAAGATTTGCTCAATTGTATCACCTAAAATACAACACACACAAAAAAAATTAATGAGCAAACACACCTGAACGCCAAGCTTGATCACAGATGCTACTTCTTTGGCTATGGACATTGTAATCTGCATGCAACATAGAGAATGATACCGTGAAAAATCACCAAGAAATGTAGATACATGGTTGCAACACAGTGATTGAGAGTTTCTTTAGGTTCTCAATAAAAAAATATGAAATTTCCATGAGAAAAAAATAAGTCAAATAGAAAGCTTCGTAACATACTAATACTCCTAGAGATACTCATGAACCCCCTAAAAAATCACTTGAAAACTACAACGCCCAAAATAATAGGCCTCATAACATATTAACATTGTTAGAAATACTCATGAAACGGCTGAAGAATCACTTGTTAAGCATAAAAAAGGTGAATACTTCCACATAGATAATAAAACACCAAAGCAGAGTATAGCTAGTCAGCATTATTTGTAGAATTAGTTAGATAAAATGATCAAACTAGTCCATTGACTCATTATAAAGCACCAAAATGATCTCGAATTATATTAAAAAATCATTTTAATCTCTCAAGACTTAAAAGAATCAAAATAGTTTCATGGTCGGGTTGTTTGATTCATTTTTAAAGAGTTGGGGGAACAAAATGATCCTTTAATATGGTTAAAAACTATTTTGGCCCTTATAAAAAATCAAGGAATCATCTTGATCCTGTTCTCAATTAATTTGTATTGCCACATAATATCAAAGTGCTTGAGTATTTATAAAAGTAGGCATAGCAAAAGTTGATGACCAAAACATCAACTATAATTTGTAGCCATAATTTGTGATGAGCTCCTCATTTCTTCTGTGGTTAGCATGGCAATGATACACAGCAGTGAAAATGTTGCTATCACTTGCTGGCCAACGATGATGAACATATTTCTACCAATTATTTATCATTCAGCAATCAAAGAGTGCGGACAGAAGAGGGCTTTAAATTCCTGTGCAGATGTGCTTACTGTTTATCAAGCACTAAAATGACTGCTGTATATAGAATCTGTCTGTATAGAGATTAAGGTTTTATTTGGGACAGTTTTTTTTACTGCTTCTTAAAACAGTTTTTTATTGTACTAAAAAACTGTTTTAAGAAGCATTAAACGAAGCCTAAATCTCCACCTGATCTTTTTCCATTTCTGGGCAAAGTATTGAAGCATATATATTAGAAAACCAAAAAAATGTATGAAAATTCTCAGCTCCTACCTTTGGATCAATATTTTCTGTGCGATCCCCAGCTAGTGCTTCCCCGCTTACTTTCAGCAAGACCCTTTGCCACCTATACGATGGCTTTGGCCTAGAGTCTTCGTCAGAGGCTAAAACGAAGGGTAGCATCGTTGCTATTTGACTTCTGAACAAAATAAAATAAAATAAAATAATCTTAACAAAGAAGCTAAACACACTTATCAATATGCAGTAGATTACTGAGCAACCTTAGATTTCAAGAATGATAATTCCCCTCCACGCCCACCAGCCAAGAACTTATGTATGTTCCTAGAAATCCCAAGCACTCATCTTAACCAAAAAATTTTCTGTAATTTTTTCTCTTCAAAGCCCCAAAACAGCGTACATATTTATTAAATTACTTTTAATAGATTTAAATAATTAACAAAGATATGTTTTTTATCATTCCTGCGTATTATCAAAGGGCAAAAAAAACCAAGACTTCTTAAACATTTTTTTAAGTAAATATAAATTGATATAAGAACACATTAAAACCATGCTCACGTATTAGTATTTTGCCCACTTATTTCATGAAAGAAGGATTAGAGTGGCGTTTAGTCTCCTGAGAGGAAAATGGCCATTCTCTTATAGTTTATATTATTAAGCAAATGAACTTAAAATGTAAGATCAAAGCCCCCAATCCTCTTAAATATAATCAAAACTGATGTCAAAAAAACCTTTTGCAATTTAAAACACATTTGGTCACTCATTAAATGCATCAAAAAAATTCATGATGGTTCAATTGTACCATAAAAAAATAGGTTTGTAAATGCCGTAACTTGGAGCATTTAAAATTTCTGGATCTCAATATGAAGGTTGGCATGTCTGACGTTAAATAATGAATAAAATGAAAACTAACAGAACTTTTACGAGTCATCCTATCTGACATGAATCTCAAAGTTTAAAGCTATTAAAAAAAACATGCGTACATTGAAACAAGCAACCTAAAATTACCAAAATTATCATCACCATTACCCCCATCCCAACTAGTTGAGGTCGGTTATATGAATCATCATTTTTCATTCATTCTAGCTAAGTGATGTCTAAGGTGCTAAACATATTCTTTGTAAATATTTTTGAATAATGTTTCTACAAGTTATGTTAGGTATATACATTTTCCTTTGTAATCCTCTAAAAACTAACTATATCTACACATCTAATGGGTGCATTCTCTATCACCTAAGTCTATTTTCAAGTGCCTTGTAACTTCAACAGATGTCACTCCATTCATTCCTTTTAACTCCAACATAATCATTATTTAACCTATCCTTCATAATTTTGTCGCACATCCATCCTAGCATTTTCATTTTTATCAAGCTCATATTAGACATTCAATGAATTTTTCTATTACCCAATACTTAAATCCATACAATATATCCAACCTAGTTCTAGTTTTATTAAATTTATCTTGAAATCTCCGTGATATCTTCTTATTGAATAGCAATTATAAGGCAATTCTCTATTTTAATCATTCATCCTTAGATTTATAAGTTATATCCTCATTCATATTCATATTTTTCAATAAAAAGATTCCAAATACTTAAACATATCACACCTTAGTATTTGCTTATCTAATAATAATATTAATTGACAACTATTAACATCATACCTACTAAAATTGCATCATATACCAAGTCTTTATTTTAACTAATTTAAAGTCATATCTCCTAAAGAATTCCTTCATTATTATTCTAGCATTTCACTTATTTCAGTAGATTTTCACTAATTAGTACTTTCATTTACAAAAAAAATAATTAGTAAGGCTTTTCACTCGAGTACCTTCATAAACAATACAAAAGGATATAGACAATATGTTAATACTTGATATAATTCTATTGTAAAAAGAAACTATTTCATCACTCCATCACTACTTTTAATACTAGCCAGAGCTTCATTATACATATTTTTAATAGCTTTAGAATACATACTTACATTTTTGGGCTTTCTACACATTGATCATATGCTTATCAAGATTAGCCAAAAAAATGATATGAAGATCAATTCTCTATTAAATATATTTTTCCATTAATTATCCTATAACTAAAATTGCTTTCATAATTGATCTTCTTGGCATGAAACCAAACTAATTCTCTAAAACGGATGTAATATCTTCTAAGCATATGATCCACTACTCTCTACCATAACTTTATTGCATGACTCATAAATCTGATTCATCTATAATTATTGAAAGCATGAACTCCTCATTTGTTATTAAATATGAATACCAATTCATAATCTCCAAACATTTGGCATCCTCTTAGCCGTCAAAATTATTATTATGATTTATTAACCAAATCAATACAATATCCTCATAACTACCCAAAACTTAATAGGTATCTTATTTAGACATAAAGGTTTATTTTTATGCACTTCTTTAGAACTAAGTCTACTTGATTTTTTATGAATTTATAGCATACCTCGCTATATTGTCTATCATGCTCTTCTAAAATAATATTTTCTTAAAACTCTCATGTAATAATTTCTTTAAGTAAATTTTTTCTCTTTTCTTGAGGCCATTCATCTTAAACTAAGATCTTATTATATTCGCCTCAAATGCATCTAGCTTGATTAAAGTTTATGGATCTCTTGTCTTAGTCATTCTATATACCGCATTTTCTCCCTCCTAAATATTGAGCATATAATATAAATCATCAAAAGTTATAATTTTTGCTTTGCTCGCTATACTCTTTAGAAGACCTAAAGCTTTCTTATAATAACTGTTAGTTTCAATAGCTTTCTTACAAGTTTCTACCTCATAGGAGCACGCCATCAATTTCTTTGACTAAACCGTTTGGTTCACTTGCTATTGGAGCCAACTTTTTCTCCAGATATGACCATCATTGGGCTTGTAGATGTGGCTAGGCTAAAGACCATTTACAAATAAAGAATTCATAAACAGTTATGCTTAAAAAAGAATTTAGACTTTGAGAAGTTAAAGTTTGGTAACTCGTATATGTACTTTTATCTTTTTTCAATGATATGTTTATGGTAGTTTCCTATCAACATTTCTTTCAAATTGCAAGCACATTGGCATTTGCTAAAAACTTTCAATTGTGTTTCAGAATATTTTGTTGTCAAGAATAGTGTCTAAACTACTCATCATGCATTCTGGTAGCATAGCTATATTCCATAATGAATTAATCAATGATTTTACTATCATCTATAATTTAATAAATTATATAATAATTATCCTACAATTGTTTCATAATCTACAACTACAGCCGCCTCAAGAAGACCCTAAGAAATTTTCTTTTTTTGTAATTGCATGTTGGTGAAACTAGTAATTACTTTAATATTGATAAAATTATAGTTGCAATCATTGAAAAAGTAAAATGAGTGCTTTGAAATGATATCATGAAAGATAAAATTTTAACAAGATAGCTATTTTAATTTATTTTTATTTTAGAACGAGCTTTGATTTTAGTAAGAGTTTATATGGTCATGCTTAGGATATTATCCTATCAGGGACTTTAATTTGTATTGATGTTCTTATTCCTTGAAGACTTATGAATTACTAGATTACTCTGGCTTCAATAATCCTTTCTTTGTTTGGTGGCTTCTCTATTTGATAGCTTATTCAGCCTCCATGGCTTTCTAACAATGGAGTTTTGAATTAATATTTCAATGCCTTTTTGAGAAATTTTCAAAGTGTTGTAAGCTCTACTCTCTAGTAAGAGTCAAGGCCCAGATTTGAAATTATGCAAATGGGTGTTGAGAAATTTTCTTTTTGTGAGGCAAAATAAGCCACAAGGTATTCGATTTAAAGCATAAGCATAAAAATTAAACCATTAAATTAATTAAAATATAAAAATAAAATATTTTTGAGTGATCCTCCTTAGGACTCAATAATAAGTAATGCCATACAAATTGAGATTTTCTCACAGCAAATTATTTCAAATTAATCCAAAAGTATAAACATAACATCATAAAAAATCATACAAGCACTCGATAATAAGTAAGAAGTCCAAGATAAAAAAGTAAACATAAATAAAAAGTCTAAAATAAACAAGAATGCAAGTCCTAAAACAAACTAGTTATGATTTAGGACTTCTAATTTGAAAATCTCTCACATTCCCATCCCTTAGAGGGTCTTCATTGAAATCATCATCATAATTAATTGCTTTCTCACATCCCTCAATCCTCATCCTCATTTGTATCAATCTCCACCCACTCTTCTTCATCCTTCATCATATTCAACCTCAATCATCTTTTCCTTCCCCAATCAATAAAATTCAATAAAAATATTATTTAAAATAACGACCATATTGACATTTTATAATCTCTAACTTTCTATTACATAAAATTTTATACAACATTTATCTTACTTTCTTGTCAACCCTTGTTGTTTATATTCATGCCTCCATCAAAAATGTCAACATTAAGATATTCCTCTTGTAAGAAACCGAAACTTCTTTTTCATACACCACAATCATTTTCCATGCATTTTTTCCCTTTTTAAATGCTCTAGGTTTAGTTATAATCTCACTTGGGCTTTTGATTTCCAAATAAAGAAGGTTCAACACCACCTAACCCTAAAATAGAGATCTAAATCTCATTGCATGCACCTCAAGATGCGACTTGAGAGACACCTCAAACAACTGAGATGTACACCTCTTTCACACACAATGGTGTATGCCTCAAGGCACTTTATATGTGCCTCGCTTGAGGTCCCCCTCAAAGTGCACAATTTTAACCATGGCATGTACCCTTCTTGGGTATTGTAAGTGAAGTATGGGCATTCTTCCACTAGTTGTTAAGGAGTTGTCAGCTTCATCTCCCTTTCAATCCCTAAGAAAGGTACCTATGTTATAGTATTAGGCCCACCATTGGGCGGCTCTCTCAAGGAGTCAAGAGTTGCATAGCTTATTCCCTTTTCCGAGTTAGGATACCTCACCTCACACATTAAATATAGTGACCATCTTTGTGCAAGATCAATTGAATTGTAACCCATTAGCCTTATTTATGATTTGAATTCCTTTGAGGTTCTCTATGCATCTTCTATGCACAACTATTGAGTTGTGAAAAGGCTTTTTCTGATGATCCAGAGTCACCTGATACTCCAAATATAAATCTCATTAGTTATTTATCATTATTGTCCTTATGTACAACCCACACAATTACCCTTTAATTATTTATGAATTCAAAAGAACATCTTTCGCTCGAGTTTGCTTTCACCAATCTTACCTTACATTAACTCTAATTTCTTGGCATCCATATTTTATGATGGAAGATCTTAATCTTCAAACCTTGTGCCAAAATGAATTATCTCCTCTATTAAAATAAAAGAGTATGTGATAAAGGCCATAATCGAGAGTGTTCTTGATATCACACCTACCGCACATTAGTTACGTTGTTTCGGCTCTGCATGTCATTCAAGAAAAATCTCTCGAATATGTTTCCAATGTCTTCCATTGATTCCCTCGCTAGTTTTGTTTTCCATCCCCAATAGGCCAAGATCATAGTTCTCTGGTGAGGCTCATTTAAAGCTCAGAAGGAGGAATAAAGAGTCATCAACGGAAAAAAATGCATTTTTAAAATAAGATAAAAACTGAATACCGACAAGAATTATAATGTTTACAAGAACACTAGAAGTCTTGTAACGAGAGGTAAGTAAAACAAAATTTACATCTTTTGATGATTTATATAATAGGATTGGTGTTAAGGAATGAGTAAAAGGAAAAAAAAATAAAATAGCTAAGGGAGGAAATAAGAAATCTAGATATTATGATCATGTAGATGCATTATAAGTAAGGATAATAAGTTCTTGTTTAAAAATACAGACATCAAAAAAATATTTAAAAAAAATATTAGTTTTAGAATTTACCTTAGAGTTTAAAGTTTTTCGTTTGAATAGATATAAAACTGAATATATGGAGTGTAATTTAATTGGTAATAGATCTCATGGGGGGATTATGACTTTGGGCGATTAAGTCATTAATAAGAATACACATTTTAGATATCTTCGGTCTATTGTTCAGAGTGATGGTGAAATAGATGAGGATATTATTAATAGTATTTAAGTTGGATGGTTGAAGTGGAGGAATGCATCAGGCTAGTTGTGAGATAGAAAAGTACTCCTCAAACTTAAGAGAAAATTTTATAAGATGGTGGTGAGACCTACAATGCTTTAATGCAGAGAATGTTAGCCATTAAAAGAGAAGCATACAATTAAGTTAAGTGTTGTAGAGATGAGGATGCTGAGGAGGATGAGTGGATTTACTCTTAGAGATAGAATGTGAAACAAGAATATATGTGAAAAGGTTGGAGTAGCTCCAGTGGTAGATAAGATTAGAGAGAGTCGTCTTAGATGGTTTGGTCACAAAAAATGTTGTCTTTCTAATGACCAGGTTAGGAGAGTAGATGCATTAGATTTTACCTATATTAAGAGAGGTAGAGGAAGACCTAAAAAGAATTGGTTAGAAAATATTAGAAATGACATTTTTTATTATATTTAAATGAGAATTTAACTTTTAACATGACATAATGGAGAAAAAAGATTAATCTAGTCGACCCCACATAGTGAGATAAAGGTTTGATGTTGTTGTTGTTGTTAGAAATTACCAATGTGTGTGAATAGATAGATAAAAAGGAAGGGATGGAAAGGAGGTAGGCAATGCTCCTGTTAAAATTCAGAAATTGTATTAAGTTCACCATCTTTTATTGTCTACACATATAAACCGTTCATTCTCATCTTTTAGTAAAACTACTTATGGTGGAGTTTCATCACTATTATTAATTCTGGCCATTTATGGAGCATGCATAAGAAATTTGAAGGATATTGTTGAAGATCTTAGTACATAGTGTACAAGATGTAGAAAAATCATATAATAAGCACACTTCGCTGTCATAAATTCTTAAAATTTTAACAATTATTCAATCATTTCAATTTAGAGTTAAGAAGTTCGCACAAATAATTTGGAATCTATACACTTGTAGAAAATCATATTATGCCAAACTAGATTAAAATCAATGATAGTTTAAAATAATAGCAAATTAGGAAAAAATAGAAGGGGAATAATTCACTAGCTGTAAGCCTTAAACTTTTACAAGGAGATCATCTATCATAAAAATATTCAAATCTCTTACTTTATCAAGTTGCTGCCTCTAAAAAGTTAAAAAAAGAACATCAAACTAGAATTTTTTATTCAAGAAATAGCATGCCCAACAGCCCAACATATTGGACTCCTGTTAATGCAGGGTCTAGGGAGGGTTATTGTACTCAGTCTTATCATTGCATAGTAAAGAAGTTGTTTCCATTACATGAACCTAGGACCTCTAGAATTCATTATAGGCAACTTAACTAATGCTTTAGAACCATCATCTAAACAAATGCTTTTGCAAATGCCTTAGACCTTTATATATATATATATATATATATATATATATATATATATATATATATGAAAGCAAAATCAAAGATGTAATAGAGGTAAGGAGAAATAATCGTACACTCGGCGACATAATGAATCAACACCAAATCATTTCATAAATTGCAAAAAAAATTGAGCGTACATCCAAGTATCATCTAAAAAGTTTTCCTGTTTGGTTCTTGTGCATCCTGAACACTATAAAAGAATTTGAGATGAAGGGTTATTGTTTTGTGAAGGGATCTCCTCTTGCTGTCAAGTTTTGGAAGAAAAATATGAAATTGAATAACGATTAATTTAATGGTGTGCCAATTTTAGTTATGTTTCTCAACACGTTTTATGCCAAAAATTGATGTTTACCCCAATTTATTTTTACACAACACTGAACATCAAAACAAATAACGTAGAGTGGCTGACAATTATGGCTATTAATGCTATCTAACGGCTTGATTCATGATACTTAAAACTGGAAAACAAATAGGTGTTCTAATGCATTATATGAAAATATGAGAAAACAGAATTCAGACACTTGATTCATGCCCACTAAAAGTCTAGAAACAACTAAATGCACACTGGCATTAAAGTGGAATATGTGAAAAAAAAAGCTAAATGATTACATAAACTTTTTTTTTTTAAACGGGAATCCACCCGCTGCCACCCTGAAAGGACCCTTGGTGGCGTGACTAATCCTTGGCTGATCTAGAGGAGTCACCCACTCCAGAAACCTCCTAGCCTGCACTTGATTGGGCCCCGCTTAAGAGTCGTTGCCCCTCGAGGTGGGTGATTACAGAAACTTGATTCATGCTAACTCAAAATCTAGAAAAAATTAAATGCACGCTAGCATTAAAGCGGTACACGTGAAAATAATGTTAAATTATTACACCCCAATGGATAGATAATTCATACTGAAAAAATTAGTATAAAAGGTTTTCGAGAGAAATAAATTTGAACACGCTTTAACAAGCGAATGCTTTATCAATTCCGAGGTTGCAAAAACTATGTTTACTATTGCAAGTCGTCGTTTTTAAAATAAGCCTTACGTTAATTCGATGGTTTCTCATAACCTCAAAGGGATTCTGGCTAGACTTCTCTGGTCTTTTGAAATTTTAAGGCAAACGACAATACAGAATTGACAATAAAAGCATTTGCTCGAAATGAAAAAACAATCAAAAAACGCAATAACATAAACACAAGAAAAGGACGAGATATTGGATTCTGTAGCACCCACCTGCCATTTTCCGAATCAGGCGACAAGCAGCAATACAGAAGACGAGGAGGCTTTATCTGGGAATTCGACAACGAAGGCCATTTTGACCTAGAAACAAAAGAAAGAGAAAGGGAAGAAGAAGTGGCAAAGCAGTAAAGCAATGGAGAATAATGGCGACGAAAGGTGCGAGCACTGGAAGGAGGAGAGATAGAAGCGGAGAAAGTAACCATTCGAAACGAATGAAGCGGACCGACTGTGGTAAGAAAGTGCTCGCTTTTGTTTTTCAACACTGATACGGTGATGCTCACAAAGACACAAACTTATCGAAAATTTACAGAAATCATTCGTAAAATTTTTTTTTTAACGCCATTGTACTGATCAACAAAATAAAAAAGAAATCTCCACACATTCAAAATTGGGGCATTCCGAGAATTGAACTCGGGACCTCTCGCACCCTAAGCGAGAATCATGCCACTAGACCAAATGCCCGAATATGCTCAACTTCTTATAGCATTTATTTTTCTATGTAAAAACTATTACTAAAAGTTTCTCATTTTAATCTTAAATATACAAAACCCTCTTACTTACTAAAGTTTTCTTAATGCACTAAAAATATCAACATATTTAATAGTGAGAGATGGACAAAAATGCTTTTATGGCCAAAAAATATATTTACAATCCTATTTTTAATTTAATCACACACCTCTTCAAATTATCACTTTTCAACATATTCCTCCGTCATTATCGTTGCTCACTTGTAACTTCTCTTTAGATTTCTTCCTTTGAATTTTTTTGTGCAATTTATCACTAAAGGCAAATATTTTCTAAAGATCTCAAGAAGAATTCAATCCTCATCACCCGACTATCATCATCTGACAACCATTTTCTGATCATCATAATTGTTTCATCATTATCCAACTTCTATCAACGGACTATTGTCAATCAATTATCATCGCTCAGTTATTGTCATCCGACTATCACCATCTGATCATTGTCACACAACTCACACCATCCAATTATTTCATCCATAATATTCTATCTCACATTCACATAAATACTAACTCCAATAATATTTGTAATATATATACACATAGGATCATTACATCTGGATCAAGCCTAGTAGTTTTTTCCCTTTCAAATTTTTCATGTAAAAATTATAACATTTTGTGTTTCTTTTTTTAATCCATGAAGATGTGATCTTCGTACCAAAAAAAAAAATTTATCTTTATCACTGTGAATTTCTTATAACACAATTATTTATAATGTTTCTCTTCACCATCTCTTGTAGATCAAGTGTTATGTACAATTTAGATTAAGCGTTCTTTACAAATTAGAGTAAGCGGTGTTTCAAATTATTATTAGTAATGTTTGTGATAGATAAGTAAAGAAATTGTCACAATTAGAATATATAAGCATTCTTTATAGTGCACTCAGAAATGTTGCCGAAAGTTCTAAAATAACCAAAGTGAGTTTGCAGTTGATATGATCTTAGGAATTATTAAGGGAAAATAGCCTCACTTAAAAAATATAGTTTCTAAAAAAAATCAGAATATTTTAGAGAATTAATAATGTTTTACTCTAACTATGCTCTTACCTTACATGAATACAAGGGCGGAACACCTTTGGGGCTGGGGGGGGGGGGGGGCAATTGCCCCCCCTAAAAAAAAAATTATTATACTCTTATTTAGGTGATTTTTAGTCTTTATTATAAGGATTTTTAGGCAATTGCCCCCTCTAAAAATATTAAAATACTATCATTCTGCAGCAACAGAGGATCCCCTACCCCCACCACATCAGGGGCAACAGGACAAACTGGACTTGAAACCGCGAGAACAGTAGCATTCACCAAGGCCAACTCAGCCAACAAATTAACAAGTGCAAATGCAGGCAAACCCAAATTAGAAAAGACAACAACCTCCTCACAAGCACTAACATTGGAGGGAGGGCACAGAATATCCTCAGCAATAGAAACCTTGCCCCCACTGTCTAAAATGTCAACTTCCTTACATTCACTAGAAACATCACAAGCAACCGAAACAACAAGCGGTTCAACCAAATCCCCAGAACCCACCTCACCAACAACTTCATCTAACGCCTGATTAATCATAGGAATCGATTCATCCCCCACCAATACCCCAGGAGCTACTAAAGACGAAACACCTAAAGTAGGATTCTTAACATTTCCAGCCAGAGGGATAGTAGAATTAGATAGCGGATACGGCTCACAATGCCCCCGAAGATGGCCCAGCCGTTTACAAGACACGGAAATCAGGAAAACTCACAAAATGCACCTTTTGAGTATACCCAGATAACTCAGGCCCGAGCCAAATTTGGAAAGGGAAAGTTTTAGTTATGTCCAGCTCCACCAACACACGTGCTAGGGATGGCCGAGAACCTACCGAAGTTGGAGAATCTACCTTCAAGGGTCTACCAAACATAGAACCTAATGCATGAAGGATCCGGGGAGAATAAAGATGAGGTCTCATATTTGGAAAAGGAAACCCAAATCGGAATAACCGGTGATTCACAGCCAATGTCAAGAACCGGAGACCACTTAGTGAGCTTCATGAAGCAATTATTCACAAGATAAGAACGATGGCAAAACACACGGCTATAGTCTAGTTCGTTATTCAGTTTAACAAGCACATGCCTCTGATCAAGCACCGTAACTGAGAACTCATAAATAAATTTGAACGAGAAAAAAAATTCAAATCGCAACGAGAGAAGGACGACGAGTGGGGAAAAAACCGGCCAATGCAAATTGAAAAGGCAAAGCAGAGAATTAATCTCCTCCTCAGAAATCCATAACGAAGGTAAACCGCGAAAAGGACCATGACGAAGCTCGGGGAAACACTCCGACGAGGACCTAGAAAGTGCTTCAACGAACGAACAAGATTTAAATGAAACATTTAGGAAACCCGGATCCTCAACTCGCCGGACCGCCATTCCGGCCAGAAAAGGCTGGAGGAGGAAAGACGAGAATGACAAGTCGAAAAAACTGAACGGAAGGCGTAAACAAGAAAGGAAAGACAACTTCCCTGAAACATGCAGATGATAGCTGTCCGGAGAGAGGCCAGCACGCCGGAAGAGCAGCTAGGGAAAAAGCCCTAGCGGAGCAAAAGGGGCGAGAGTCGAGAGGAGGGGAAAAGCTAAAAGGAAACCAAATGGAGTTCACACCCAGTTAAACTAATGAATCTTTGATAGAAAGATTAGGGATTTTATTTGAGACAGTTTGTGTATTGCTTTTTGAAGTAACTTTTTAATACAAAATTTTTTTGAAAGTAACAAAAAAATAGTTGCTAAAAATTGCCCCCAATGAAACCAAGTCTATAATGTAAATCTTGAAAAAATAATAATAATAATAATAAATAATAAATAAATAAAAAAAGATTTTACGGGTTATCTATATAAAAAAATAAATACTTAAGGCAAACTATAATATATGATATGATCAATATGAATACTCGCTCATCAATAATAATACAAAAAGAAGACCATATTGTGCCCTACTTTGGTGATGCAATGGATCCAGAAATACAAAATGAAAGAATATATTTTAAAAGGTTGAACTTAAAGGAATATTCAAAATCATGAGCAACAATAATTTATACTCTTCTTCAAGATGCAGAAGATTATTATAGATTCAATATAGGAATTCTCATTATTTCTGGCTGGATTATTCGCCGAAAAGCGGAGTTTGAATATCTACCAGCGATAAATGAGCATCGGAAATGCCATTGTGACGGTTTTTTTTTCATCGGAAATCTTACCGACGGATCTCCAAGGGAAGGAAAATACGACCGACTTAAGTTGTTTAGTGGGAGAAAATTACGCCTGCATAACAACAGATTACCAACGGAATTTTCAGCCGATTTTTTCAGCCAAAATTTGTTGTATCAAATTTCCAAAGAAAAATTGCAAAAATCCACCATAAACCTGTAGCACAGACAAAAAAAAAAATCTTCTCCTTTTAATTATTCTACAATAATTCAGAAAACAAGTATGAAATACATAAAAGAGCTAAATTTAATAAAATATTTAAACACACACACAATAACATATTATAGAATTCATTTTACAATGATGAAATAAGATACTTTACAAATAAAAGTAAATTATTATAAAATAAGCCAACAGAGTAAAAAACGCTTCTATGCTGCATATCGAAGCCTATCAGATCACAAATTTGAATATTTTTAGGGAAAACACAACAAAAATTCCTAAGAACATCTGATTTCACCAAGATAAAGAACACAATTTCGCAGCAACTTTTCAACCCACGCAAAAGCATAAGAAATTGATTTAGGAGATATTTGGTTGAAGGAATTTGGAAATCAAATACAATACTTTTTTAATAATGAATTTCAAATACATGTATTTTTAAGTATAATATGGGCGGCAAAGAGGGGGTGGCGGCAACAAGAAATAGCCGGTAATAATAGTGGGTGGCGATGGCGATGGCGGTGGCCAGCTGCACTAGATGGTGGTAACGAGCAACTACGAGCAACAAATATACACGATGCATTTGAAAATCATTCGAATTGGGCAATCTTGAAATACATCAAAAATAAATTAAACGATGAAGTCCAAATATATTAGAAAATCCAACCAAGTGCCTAAATTTTCAAAATCCTCGCATTCCTTTTATTCTGCACTCTACTTCAAACCAAATAACCCCTCAGTGCAGCACAGCATCATCACCAGATGAAGCCATCCATGCACCAAAAAAACATTAGCAGTTTTATTGCATAAGGAAGAAGGTTACACTGATAACAAAAGTATATCGCTTCCCCAAGAGCATTACAGCCTAAGCTATAGGCTGTGTATGGATTGATCTCTGATAGCAATTTATATAAGAGATGAGCATCACATGGCTAGGAGCCTCCTAGTACAGATGGGTTCAACGGCTAGGATGAGGCAGAATAAAATAGCCCAGAAAGTGGGCAGGAAACGGAATGGAAAATACTACTGCAGCAGAATATCCTTAGTCTGCTTTGACAGCCCCCCTCAAGTAAATAGTTCGGTCACAAACTGTTAAATTATTTCAAAGAAGATGAAACGGTTGAAACTCGTGACTGGTAAAGCTTTTGCAAATATATCTGCAAGTTGATCATTAGTAGAGATGTGATGAACAATAATAGTGGACGACTTAATGCAATCACGAATAAAATGATGATCAACTTCGATATGCTTAGTTCTAGCATGAAATATGAGATTTTGAGCTAGAGCTAAGGCAGAGATGTTGTCACAATAAAGAGGTTTTGGTGTTTGCAATGGAAAATATTACT